CTAACCTGGAATGAGAAGGACGCTTCTCTTAGTGAGCAAGGAATAACCTCAAGGATCAAGAGAATGAGGTAACAGGATACGGTGTTCTACTCTCCCACGCAGAGCAGAGCAAGGAGCATCATGCGTAGTTCTGACCTTCAAAATGGCTGCCCCATTCTTTGCATTTTTCAGTCATGCTTATGGAAGAGAATCTTAGAGGTTGGGCAGGGCTGCATATTAGTAGTACAAGAGTAATACCAATAATTAGTGTTAGTGCACAAGAGCCACCTGGAGAGTGGCATGAAGAATACACCTGCCACAGGGGTTTGGATTCTGTCCATCTGGACTGGGCCCAGGGACCTGCACTCTTAAATCCATCTCTCTGGGTGATTCAGATGCAGGCTGCAGACTGCCTCTGGGAGAACAGGGACACCTCTCCAGAGACTTCTACGGTTAGGAGGCTTTGTCTTCACCTCTCCCTCATGGAGCATTCTTGCTCTCATTTCATTGCTTTCATGACTTAGAATTTAGGTAAAAATGCTTCTCTGCCCTCAGGTGTGATTGGTTTTTGGGTTAAAAAATTGTTCTTACTTGACCTCTCTTCCTCCTCCCCACCCACCTCCCACACACATTGTGTAAGCAAAAAGCTGATTTTATTTTGTTGATCTAATTTCTCCTTTACCATTCGCTTTCAAATGAGGACTAGGAAATGCTGACTGGGCAGAAAGTTCCAACCCTTCCTTTGAGGAAGGCCAAAGGCCTCAGGTATTAATAGGGAGGTGAAGGAGGCCACCAAAGGCAGAGCTGGGGAAAGGCATGAGTCTTGAAGAGCAAATGTGCAAACGGATACTCACTCCAGGTTGTCAGCTGTGGTAAAAGGGCACTGAGGTGGCCCATAAGAATCACCCAGTTGGGGAGGCAGTGCTGGCAAATTAGGTAGCTATACACATGTAGCTTCTCCATCGTTCCTTACATTGAAATATTCAGCATCAGCATGGTTCTTACAGTCTCACCCGATGCTGCTTACTATTCAGCATTGGTACATTCCTCCAAATTCTGTTCATCTTAAAAACAGCAGACTGATAAAGTTCCTAAACCTCTGGACTTGGCCCTCTGAAATGAGATCTTTTATCCTTTTCTTCTCCAAGTTTCTAGAACGCATTTTCATAGCATACTTGCAAAGGGAAAGATTATCAGAAAAAGAAAAATGGATGGGTAGTAAAGTCGAAGGAATATTATACCAAAGGTTTTGGTAGGAAAATATTTATGTCCACAAGCACAAGCCACACCCTTTCTGGGAAGATATTACTAGTCCTGAAGCTGGGTTAGTGGATCCCAAAATATACCTCACAAAAAGCACAGTTACCCTCCCAAAATAAGCCCTATAATTAAAGTCTTTTCAAGTGGATTGTCCTATATCACAACTTGACATATGTTGCTTTAATCTCCCTGCTTCAGCAAATGTAGCCGTCTTGGGCTACAAAAGCCCTCAACAACTTACATTTAAACCAGACTGTGGTGTCACTAGGAAATTGATGCAAATAAACAGCCCTGTGTACCAAAATACCCAATCTCAATCATCTGTAATGAGATCTCTCTCCTCCCTAAGCACATTTTCATCACACCAGAATTGCTGCCCTGATTCAAAAGGAAGGACTAGCCCAGATTGAAATACCGTCTCATCTCAGAGACCATCTAAAGGCAGGCACTTCTGAAGAAGCTGGGGCTGAAATTAAAATAGGAGATGACCTCCTTTGTGTGAACGTGGGGATCATGTTGTGTGAGTCTCACTTCAGATGCCCATCTGTCTGTCTGAATTCATTTAAGTCAGTTCTTGCTTGGAGTTAGGGGTAGTGTAAGAGAGAGAGTCCCTTATGAGACCTTTCGGCCCCTATGATTCTCTGACCAAACTTCTTTATGTTTTCTAGTTATATATTCACATACAATTAAATAACAAAATATTTAAAATTTTAAACCTTCAAAATAATAAGTACTTTGGACATTTAAAAAAAATTTTTTTTATTACTTCCATATCAGGTTTCTCGGTCTCAGCATTATTGACACGTGGGCCTGATCACTGTGCGTGGGGGGTGCTGTCCTGTGCACTCTAGGATGGTTAGCAGCATCCATGGCCTCCACCCACTAGATGTCAGTACATACATCCTCCCACCCCCAGTTGTGACAACCAAAAATGTCTTCAGACATTGCCAAATGTCCTGTGGGAGAACAAAATTAACTTGGGTTGAGAACCACAGCGCTCTCTCTATATTTATGTTATGTATATATCTCCCCATGGCATGCCCAGGGGGAAAATAAATCTAGATTTTTCAAGGCACTCATAAGTTTTCATTTTAAGAATTTCAAACTTCCTGTGATTCATAATGAAGAATCAGGATCTGTGATACAGTGCTACCTTGAAAGATTTATAAACAGCACTACTGCTGTCTTAAACAAAGGGTGGCAAGGCCTGGCCTCATTTCAGTCAAGACACTTAAGAGAGGATGGATTTACTGTACCCTATCTCTTAGATGGCTATCCTCCCCACTCTGAGGAATTCCATTCTTAGAAGACTACTGTTAAGAAATCCTTCAGTCTATTACCAGGCACTCAGTACTGATCACAAAGGAAGAGGATTAGGGTTTGTATCTGGTGACACTGTCTATAGAAGCAGTGGCCCTCTGTACTGCTCGTGGGCCGGATCACCTCAGGGGCAGTGTTTCTAATGCTGGAGAGGCAGGGTGGGGAGGAGAGGGAAATAACATCAGAAGACAAACAGTACAAGGATGGAACAGTACAAGGATGGAACATGGTTAAGTTCAGCCCAGAGAAGAGAAGATGAATATGATGAAGGAGAGGGTCTTCAAATACGCGAAGAGCTGGTGTGCGTGAGAGTGGGTAGACTTGTCTCTGCCTACTTAGAAAGTGACTACGAGCATAGTTGGCTCAATGAGTACTTACCATAGGCCTGCTAAGTGCCAGGCACTGTCCAGGCGCTGGGACCAGAGGAAGGAAGAAGACCAAGTTCCCGTCTCACGGAGCACATATGGTTCAATGTAAGGACTAGATTGCTTTCCTTCCCTCCTTTCTTCCCTCTTTCGTTTTAACAATTTATGCTAAATGTCCAGGTATTTGTCTGCTTGTTTTGTTTTGTTTTTTTTCTATTTTAAAACTGAGGTTTAGGGGCGCCTGGGTGGCTCAGTCAGTTAAACATCTGCCTTTGGCTCAGGTCACGATCCTGGGGTCCTGGGATTGAGCCCCGAGTCAGGCTCCCTGCTCAGCGGGGAGCCTGCTTCTCCCTCTCCCGCTCCCCCTGCTTGTGCTTTCTCTCTGTCAAATAAATAAAACCTTAAAAAAAAATAAAACTGAGGTTTAATTAACATAGAGCAAAATTCACCCTTTTATTATAGAATTCTGTGCATTTTCATGAAACATACAGTTGTATAAATACTGCTACAAATCCAAGATCCAGAACAATTTCCTTACCTGCTACACTTTTCCTGTGCCCCTTAATTGTTTTAATTGGAGCATGCTGCTCTGTGCAGTAGCAAGCTCCTCACCTCTGAGAGAATTTGGACTCCCCTCTGTCAGGGGTTCTGTAGAAGAGACTTGTTTTGGCTAGTGGGAGAATGGGCCAGACAACCCCTGAGGCTATGTCCATCTCTTCGATTCCATGAAACTGGAGGGGTCCACCTAGGGACACCAATCTTAAAAACCAGCCCATCTGCAGGGAGTGACATGGCTGATTCCTTCCAACCACAGATAAAAACCCTACCCCAAAAGCCAAATTCTTTTAGTCGAAGCTCAAAAATTTCAGCCTGATAACTGGATCTCTGCGAAGGGTGCATAATAAGCACAGATGAAAAAAAAAATCAAAAGAAAGGTTTGGAAATGAAAGCCTAAATATGGTAACTACTCCTGACTCTTCTTTTCCTTCTCATTCTTTTCATTCAAAGTAACATTAACTTCAAAACCGAAATAAAACTCTAACAAATGTAACTGTACTTGTCTGCAAAGGTGGCAGGAAGGGAAGTTAAATTAGCCAAGCTTGTCTAAGAATGGGTAGACAGGAGTGGAGAAGATGATAAATGTCTTGGGGCTGCCACAGTGTGTTATGGAGTGGACTCTGGAGGATGGACTGACTGTGGTGACCAGCTGTGACATCCCTTGTGACAGCAAATGTGGTGTGACCAACCCAACCCTGGTGGCCCTCCTGCTGGGAGATATGTACACCTTTTGGTGGTTTGACTTCAGTAAATGTCCAGTTTCCAAATGAGGCTGTCCCGTTACCAGGAATAACTGGCTCTATCAAGCACCTACTATGCCCCAGCACTACCTAGCTCATTTTATTCTCACCACAACCATATGAGATGTGTAACATTAAAAGCCTTGTTTTACAGATGAGGAAACTGAGGCTCAGAGAGTGGATGTAACAACCAATTAGTGTAGAACTTAAATTTTAGCCCAGGTTGCCTGACCCTGAAGACCGTTCTTTTTACTACTGCTGGCAAGGTATTCTGGGTGGTTGCTGAACTTAATGTTCTTGGTCTCTTGGGCCACTGTCATGCTGGGATTCCTGATTCCCTTCAGTTTCCCGTTCCCCAAACAGCTAACTGTCCATTTCTCATTTCAACAGCTAGGCCGTAAGGATTTCTCTGCGGTGGAGACTCTTCGTTGCTGTTGTTATTCTATTGGTCTGCACGTTATTACTCTTATAGTCCATGGGTTACCTAGACCGTAAGCTAAACTGTCAAGGGTATTCTTTACCCTATGTCCAGAAGCTTCCCTAAATCTAGACTTCTTATTAAATCTTAGAAAACCCCACATTTCTTAATAACATCAGCAATAACAAGAAAAAATGTCATACTGTCAGAAGTACCGATTAAATGTCACGTCTAATTATAAAATCCTATTTTGTCTAAGTTTAGTGCAGATTCAAAAGATGCACGAAACAAGGCAATGGCTTCCCTTTTGGGCACCATTTTACAACAAAAGGTATTAGAAATAAATGCAGCAGCACTTACCAAAATTTCCCCCAACTATCACAAACTTTATATACACCACATGTCTTCTTCTACAGCTGATGGACCGGTCCTGAAAAACAAACCACAACAAAAGGAAAAATGCACTGCTGAACAGAAGTCATTTACCCTTCTGGAAACCATGTAGTCTTCCTTGTTTGGGGCACTCATCCACGTACCAAACTCTTACTGCCAGATTCTTCTCTGTTTTTCACAGGAAGACGAAACCATTTATAAATTAACAAATAAATAAGTCTGGACAATGAAAAAAACCAAAACTTTGCTCAGACTTTATTTGAATTTTTAGCCCTTTAAAATAATTGAAGACAAAACAATGCAAAAATATCTAAAATTGAACTCATAAAAATTTCCCCCAAACCAATTCTTTTTCCTGTTTCTTTCAATAACACACTCTCTTCTCCCTTGCTGGCTGTGAGACCCTCACCTTTTGTTTCCAGACTTCGTTTTCTTACCTGTAAAATAGGGATTATTGCACTGACCTCCCAGGGTGGTTATGGAGATTAAATGAGATAAATTTAATGACATATAAATGTCACTGCAAGGCTTAAAACAGCATCTGGCATGCAGTAAACACTCAGTGCATATGCAAGGAGCTATTATCAGACTCCTAATCACCCAGGCCTGAAAATAAACATGGCCTTCCTCCCCTCCTCGGTAAACCGAGGTCCCAGCCTGCCCTTCTAGTCCTGTGGGTGTGCTGGAACTCACCACCTTCTCATTACACCAGCTGGCATCGCTCCTTGCAGAAACCGGTTTCCTGGCCCCCGGTTTCTTCCCTTCCAATCCTGCTCTCGCAGCTCTGCAAGGCATCCTTCCTAAACGCAACTTAAAGCCTTGTGGAAACACCTTCCACTGCTTCCCGTGACCTACAAATTTATCTGTGAAATTACATTAGCCTGGGACTCCAGCTCCCCTCTGCTGTATCTCCACGTCTCTCCACCGGAAGCTGCAGTGTCCAGTCACCTGTCCTGCCTGAGCCCGTGGGCATGCCAGTTCCTTCCCTGAGGGTCTCTGCCTCATAACTGCCGGCAGGAGGCCTAGCCATTTTCTGAGGCAGGGGCTCTTTGTTCTTATGCCCGGTAGCAGTCTAGAGGCATGTTTCCCAGAATAACGTTTTTAAAGGCTTGAAATTAATGCATGAAATGAATAGGATTCAAAAGAAGCATATTGATTATACAGTTATCAAAATATAACAAAATTGTGATGTTTCTTTCCGTATTTAAATAAGTTCCAGCAAAAGTCTAAAAATTACTGTAATTTGAAGTACTATTGGGCACAAATGATATTTTAGGGTATCTATAACCATAATGTAATATGAAAATACCCACAATTTCTATTGGTGGCAAAGAACTAACGCTACTTTGTAATAGAAGGAAATATTAGATTTCGGTTAAGGGTTAGTGAAAATAATTTTTTCCCCCATCCAAGTTCACAGAGCCCCGAATTCCATCCATGGACCCAGGTCATGAGCCCCTGCTTTTAGGCCTGGCCTAACTTTCTTCTTCTTGAGGCCTTTCTTTCTTTCTTTTTTTAAAAGATTTTATTTATTTATTTATTTGCGATAGAGAGAGAGCACGAGCAGGGTGGAGGGGCAGTGGGAGAGGGAGAAGCAGGCTTCTCACTGAGCAGGGAGCCCGATGCAGGGCTCGATCCCAGGACCCTGGGACCATGACCTGAGCTGAAGGCAGACGCTTAACCAACTGAGCCACCCAGGAGCCCTTCCTTGAGCCCTTTCTACCTTGATTTTCCCAATGGCTATGATCTTACCCCTCTTTGTTTTTCTCTTTCAAAAATTATGTTTTATATGATATAGATACTTGAAATACACTTACTGTATCCTACTTTTTAGGCTGTAAGGGGAGGCGCTATTTTTTTTTTTTTTTTTATTCCTCCCATGGCTAATAGTGTTTTGCCTCACAGCACACACAGGCGGGAAGGCATGCGGCTGGCACTGTTTGAATCAATCAGTGAGTCAAAGGGCTTTCTTGCCTGCCCCACACAGATCAGCTAATATGACTATTATTTCACCTCTCTTTGGCAGGCTATGAGGTCCTAAATATGTAGACAGGACCCCTAAACACTCCATATTTAGAGTATAAATTATTTAAGTTAGGCAACAAAATGTTCTCTTCTTTTACTTCTCTCTAGAGCGTGGATGCTCAGTCAGTGCTGCTGACAGATCTGCTGGGAACAGACCAGCAGTCCAGGCAGCGCGTCACACAGGGGGCTCACAGTCCCTGCCTTCATGGAGCACCGAGTCTAGCAGCTTTCCCCACCTGGTAGAAGTAGGAGTAGCTGGGCATCTCTCAACCTTTCAGGGCTTTTGCAAAGACAAGACATATCTGGTGATTTCCTAAGAATGGGCACCTTGGTGACCTATGTAGGCAAGGCCATTGAAGAGTTGCTCTGGTTTTCCATTGGTCTCATGGATGTGAGCCCGTGGTTCCAGTAGATGGAGCGGTGAAATGTCATCTTCCCTAAGTGACACCATCCTTGCAGATGAAGTCAGAGATGACAACCCCACCAAAGAGACTGTCTCAGGAAGGTCTACTTAACACCTGGCTGTGTATTTCACTCTGAGCCCCACTGGGTCTATGATGGATCTGCCCCAGGATGGACACCAGTCCTTTGGTCTTACCAACTTTTTCCCAAAACAGCTACAGCTCAGGACTCCTGTGTATCTTTTATTAAGAAAAATTTAAAAATAATAGATTAGGGGTACCTAGTTAGTTCAGTTGGAAGAGCATGCGATTCCTGATCTCAGGGTCATGGGTCTGAGCCCCGCACTGGGTATAGAGGTCACTTAAATAAGTAAACTTAAAAAAAATCACAAAATAGTTCTTCCTTTTCAAATGATGAGAGCATGATGATTTTCTCCACTGAAATCACTCATAAAGGTATTGTGACCATTTGTTTTGGCATAAATCTGCCACCGGCAGCATTTTTCATGCTCAACCTCATATCAAGTGACCCTGAGGACAGTAGGGGTGTACTCTCCCCGAGAACTAAGACAGATGACATATTCACTCAGATCAAAGGCTGGGCTTGGCACACTCTTTTTAAACTTAAGGACCTTTACATCCATCTCTTTGAATTTGTTCTTTTTGAGACACATTAGATATACGTTATTAAATAAAAAGAACTGAATGATAATGAGGAGAGCAACATGACTGTTTAATCTTTTGTTTCAAGAATTATGACATATATATCCCCATAAATAAATAGTAAGATATTCATAGGCATTCCCACACAACACATTGCCCTGCATGAACTTTTTGCTTCTACTACAAATCATAGACCCTGTGCGGCTCCTGGTTTCAAGGATAACATTCTCATTACCATTGGAACAAGTATCTCTAATACAGTTCTCATCTGCACGGGTCATTCCTTCACCCTTCTTCCTAACAGATCCCCTATATCTCTTTAGCCACAGTGCCTCAGGGGCAGGTGACAGCACTCCAGCTGGAGGGTGGGGACCTGAAGGGCCCAGGGCTTTGTGGTGTGCTACCCAGCAACGTCAGCATCACCTGGGAGCTTCTGAGAAATGTCAGCTCTGAGGCCCCAGCCCAAACCTACTGAACCAGAATCTATTTTATAAGATCCCCAGGTGATCTGTATGTCACAGGGTTTCAAATGCACTGATCTAAGGGGAACACATTCCTCTTGACAGTGACAGGTTCAAGATTAGGCATGTGACCCAATTCAGGCCAACAAGATGTCAAGAATGTTTTGCTCGGAGCTTCTCATTCTGAGATAAATTCCCCCCTTCTGAATGTTGTGTGGGATATGATGCCTAGGACTTCTGTAGCTACCTTGCTCCAGTCTAATGATAAAAGCTGGCCCAAAGAGGTGGGCAAAGAAAAAAGTCCCACGGAAGCAGAGCTGGGGTGACTGCATCAGGTCAACCCTGAAGTCTGTGGAACCAATGGAGCTCTAGTAAATTTCTTATTGTTCAGGCCTCCCTGAGTTGGGTTTTCAATTACCTGCAGCTGGAAAGCATCTTTCCAGCAAATCAGTGCCCAGTAAAGCATTATAAAAAGGACAGAACACCGAGACATTGGGCTTAGCCATATGCTCAAGAGTCCAGACAAGTCAGTGCATTGAGAGGCAACAGTTTAGAGACTTGTTTTGTTTGGGGAACTGACCCAGGAGTATTTCTGGTTCTGACAATCTTTGTTTGCTTTGTGCATTTCCAAAAGCTTTCCAAATCAGCCAGTTTAAATGATCAACCAGAGGAAGTGCTGAACACTTTCCAAATTATTTTAACCAGAGCAGTCAACAGTTGCTTTCCCCAGAAGCCACATGGATGTCATTTCCTGTAAAGACAATGGGAGACTAATTGCTCAGCCTCAGACTCCAGTAGGGAAGACAACCTGTGACATGTCATTACTGGCAGGGTAAATAAGGAAAAGCTTGAGGATCTCAGAATCTGCTTCTGGATCTACTCCAATAACTTGGGAGAAAAGTTAAAAAACACCAGCTGGTCTAGGAAAAGATTTGAGGGGCTAGCAACTTAGGTAGTCACCTATAGCATTTTTACGTACACTGGTATTTATTAACGACCTTTCGGAGAAAACCAAATAGACCTGCTCTTGTATAAAACCATATAGGACTCTGGTGTGATTTTTGCTTCATATACAGGAGTGATGTAGTCAAGGAGAGCTGGGCGTCTAAATGGACATTATTTCTTATGTGTGTTACAGCTTCTTAGCCACAACAGGATATTTTGAGGGACGAGTTTGCTGTGTCAGCTTGATGAAGAATGTGCTTTCTATCATGGAGTAAAATTAGTTGGTTCTCCACAGAATGTTTCTTAGGTTCTATCACCTCAGGTCTTTTTTTCCTCTCCAATCCTTTTTGCTTTCTCTTCCCTGGTACCTTATATGCTTCCAAAGCTCCAACCATCACCCCTTGTCATGAGTTTCAAACCACACCCCTAGATCTATCACCCATGCTCTCCTAGTTCCTCTGCTGCCTCCTAGACATAAAGTACTTTGAAGTGGGGACTTCGTTTTGGTCACTGCTATATTATCAATGCTTAGCACAGTAGCT